TGTATATCTTTGGTCTCGAAATTACCTAAATCTTGGAACTAAAACTGAAATAACATAATAACTGAGAGGGATATTACAACATGAGTACTCTAAATTCTACCTATATGTTTTAAATTAGACTGTTTTCAACCAAATCACGTGTGAACAATCCCCATGATATGGTAGACATGACGAATTAAAGAAATCACGATTAGTAAAGATTGTACCATTTTTACAACATCTAGTAGCAGTAGGTCTTCTACGCAGTACCTGTTTTTAATCAATTAGTACCTAATTTTGATCAACGAAAATGGATTACTTCAATTTTGGTCAACATTTGTGAAATTAGTACCAGCCCTAAAGTTAGATAGTACTCATTAAATGATGTTTTAGTACCAGATATCGGGTCTTCAGTACCAAATTCATCCAAAAATAAAAAAACACCGAATTTTGGTCTTAATTGATGTTTATATGAATCAAATCACTCGCACGTTAGTTTCTATGAGATTTAGAATGTATTTCATTAAGTTTCATCACAAACTGGTCATGAATTCAACATACTAATGAACAAACACTATTTTATTACACTTCATCTCATGGATGATCATACATTTTTTACTACTCTAAATTCTACCTATATGTTTTAAATTCGATTATTTTTCAACCAAATCATGCGAGAACGATCCACGCGACATGATAGACATGATGGTTTAAAAAAATCACGATTAGTTAAATGATACCGGTTTTACAACAAATAGTACCAATAGTTCTTCTTCGCAGTACATGTTTTTAATCAATTAATACCTACATTTGGTCAACGAAAATTAATTATTTAATTTTGGTCAATAGTTGCGATATTAATAACAGACCTAAAGTTAGATAGTACGCATTAAATGGTGTTTTAGTTCCTGATATTTGGTTCTTTGGTACCAACTCCAACGAACATAAAAAAACACCGAATTTCGGTCTTAAATGTTGTTTATATGAATCAAAATCACTCGTACATTAGTTTCGATGAGATTTAGAATGTGTCTAATTAAGTTTCATCACAAACTGGTCATAAACTCAACACACTAATGAAAAAAAACTATTAATACATTTATTTCATTAAATGATACACTTCATCTCATCGAATGATCATAACTTGTCATAAGATATTGATGATAATTTTATAAATCGCCCCTATATATAATTTTCGAATGTGTTGAGTCTAGGCATGCTTGTATGCTTCAAATATTTATTTGGCATAATTATATGCTTTGTATTGCCACATGTACATGTTTGGTTTTAGGCTTGGGAATTACCATAAACTATTTTGGGTTTTTTTTTCTTTTTTTTTCCTTAAATTTCCATATACTACTCTTACTTTGTCTTATTTAATTCATATAATAATTATTATAAATATGTATTCTTTTTATTTTTAAATCTTTATAATTTTTTATGTGTATTTTATTTTTTGTATATTATATTTCAAAATAATCATATTTTAACGATCTTTGATTTGACATTCATATTGCATATATAAAATAAAAAATAATTACACCTATCATTGTAATATAATTAAAATTATTAAAAAAATAAGTTCAAAAATATAAATACAATATAAATTATTTTATAATAAATATGATAAAAATCTACTTCAGTAATATACCATAAAATAATCATTTTAATGCGTTTCTCATAGATTGTAAATAAAATAAGAAAATCAAGTACAAAAATACGGGCCCCATTTTAAATCAATTACTAATTTTTTTAGTTGTTCATACTTTTGTATATTCAATATAAATAATTTTACAATAAAAAAATAAATCATTTTAATTTTTATATTGTACAAATATTAATATATTTAAGTACTCGTGTAGTACACAAATATCGTATTAGTTAATATATATTACTCTTAAAGACTAGATAGATCTTTGAATAAATATTTTTTAATAAAATTTAACTATAATTTAATTGTAGAGAATTAGTTGATAAAGTTGAAGACTGAGAACATACAACAAACATTAAAAATTGTGATATTAGTATCATATTATAGGTTTATATGATATAAAGATTAGTAAAATATAGTTTTTTTTTTTATTTGGATAGCTTATACAAAAATAAATTTATATTAATTAATAAAAAGATATAAGTTTTAATATTATACTTATTATTCACATATATTTTTAAATATATGATAAATATTTTACCAAAATATTTATTTTATGGAACAACATTGTATTCAAGTTGAATTTTTGAATAAAATTTTTAAAAGGACACTTATTTTGAAATAAAATAATGTAACTTAGTATCAGTTATGTACACCGTATGAGTTATGTACTAATTTTAAATAGACATATTTTATATAACTTTTCACAATTTAAATTTCATATAACATTTTAAATAAATTAATATAGGGGCCGTATTACATATTGATTTCATATTATTTAATTTATAAATATTATTTTAGTACCTGATATTTGGTTCTTCGGTACCAACTCCAACGAACATAAAAAACACCAAATTTCGGTCTTAAATGATGTTTATATGAATCAAAATCACTTGCACATTAGTTTCGGTGAGATTTAGAATGTGTTTAATTAAGTTTCATCACAAACTGGTCAGAAACTCAACACACTAATGAAAAAATACTATTAATACACTTATTTCATTAAATGATACACTTCATCTGGTCGAATGATCATAACTTGTCATAAGAAATTGATGATATAAATCGCCCCTATATATAATTTCCGAATGCGTTGAGCCTAGGCATGCTCGTGTGCTTCAAATATTTATTTGGCATAATTATATGCTTTGTATTGCCACATGTACATGTTTGGTTTTAGGCTTGGGAATTACCATAAACTATTTTGGGTTTTTTTTTCTTTTTTTTTCCTTAAATTTCCATATACTACTCTTACTTTGTCTTATTTAATTCATATAATAATTATTATAAATATGTATTCTTTTTATTTTTAAATCTTTATAATTTTTTATTTTTATTTTATTTTTTGTATATTATATTTCAAAATAATCATATTTTAACGATCTTTGATTTGACATTCATATTGCATATATAAAATAAAAAATAATTACACCTATCATTGTAATATAATTAAAATTATTAAAAAAATAAGTTCAAAAATATAAATACAATATAAATTATTTTATAATAAATATAATAAAAATCTACTTCAGTAATATACCATAAAATAATCATTTTAATGCGTTTCTCGTAGATTGTAAATAAAATAAGAAAATTATGTACAAAAATGCGGGCCTCATTTTGAATCAATTACTAATTTTGTAGTTGTTCATATTTTTGTATATTCAATATACATAATTTTACAATAAAAAAATAAATTATTTTAATTTTTATATTATACAAATATTAGTATATTTAAATACTTGTGTAGTACACAGGTATCGTATTAGTTGATATATATTACTCTTAAAGATTAGATAGATCTTTGAATAAATATTTTTTAATAAAATTTAACTATAAATTAATTGTAGAGAATTAGTTGATAAAGTTGAACGACTGAGTAACATACAACAAACATTAAAAATTGTGATATTAGTATCATATTATAGGTTTATATGAAATAAAGATTAGTAAAATATAGGATTTTTTTATTTGGATAGCTTATACAAAAATAAATTTATATTAATTAATGAAAAGATATAAGTTTTAATATTATACTTATTATTCACATATATTTTTAAATATATGATAAATATTTTACCAAAATATTTATTTTATGGAACCACATTGTATTCAAGTTGAATTTTTGAATAAGAATTTTAAAATGACACTTATTTTGAAATGAAATAATGTAACTTATTATCAGTTATGTACACCGTACGAGTTATGCATAAATAGACATATTTTATATAACTTTGCACAATTTAAATTTTATATAATATTTTAAATAAATTAATATAGGGGGCGTGTTACATATTGATTTCATATTTTTTAATTTATAAATATTATTTAGTGAGAATTTTTAATATATATAAATGTTAATATATTTATTACCCGCATTAGATTCATACTAGTTTGTTTTAATGAGTTTACAAAACTTATACATATATTGGAATAAGACAGTATCAGTGTTGTAGTAACCTAGTACTCATATACTATCATTTAGTACTGACTGATACGAACGAAAATGAATATATATTGTAAATATTTGTTTACAAAAATGATATCTATAATGTAGTAGGACAATACCAATATTGTTGTAACTTAGTACCTTTATATTCTGTGGAAGGAAAGAGAAAGAGAAATAATTGAAATTTAGTAGTAGTAGAGATAAATAGTAAAAGATAAGAAAAAAAAAATAATAAAAAATATGTGAAAATAGAGAGAAAAAATAATAAAAAATTAATAAAGTTAGTGGAGAGAGAGAGAAATAATAAAATAATAAGAAAATGTAATTGGTAGTGGGGTAATGTTATTTTTTAATTTATTTTTTATTTATTTTAACAAGAGAGAATTAAGTGGAAGTTTATTTAAGGGTAGGTAGTGGAGTGGGAAAAAAAATTAAAGGAGAGACTAAATGAGAACATCGAAAAGGGATTGGAGATTTTAATGAAAGTCACCATTAAATTAAAAGTGTTGAATTAAAATAGTATTTCACTTGTAGTTTTACTTTTATCTTTAAAAAAAATATCCCACAACACAAACAAAAATAATTTTTTTATATCCAAACGCCCTAGAATCCGATAACATAACATTGATGTAAAAAAACAGTATATATTTCAAACAGATTACAAAGTGTGTCATAAATGTATCTATACATGGTACTATTCCGACAATTAATTTGATGCAGAAAATGGTTTCATTGTCATAAAGATAAAATCACAAACCTGGTAAAATTCAAACCCCCAAACCCAAAGGCAAAGTCCCAAAATTCACTCTTTCGAAATTCGAATTACAACAAAAACAAAATATGCTATGCTATGGAGTCTAGAGTCTAGACTCTGTAATTAATACTTTATCTTTTACGTGTTGCTGCTATGCTTTACCAAGTGCCGACACTTTTCACCTCCCAATACACTTTTTACTTTATAAGTAACAGTTACCAAAATCTCTGTGTATATATATTTAAGTCGCGCACAACTCTGTGTTATGTTACTTTTTTCCACAGAACGGTCCCTGATGCCTCGGCCTTCCTATCTCTTCTGAATTAGGTCCTCTGTTATTCTGCAGAAGAGGAACAGAGTTCGAACAAGATTTCACGAAAGAAAGTCACTTTTGAGAAGGGTGATTGTCTTCTTAACTTTCCCTAGCTTCTTTCTTTCTCTGTTTGTCGTGCTGCTTTAATGACTAAAGTTTGGTTGCTTTTTTTTATGGGATTTACTTGATTTTGCCGATCTCTGATTTATTTTGTTTTGGTTCGTTTATTTTGCCGATTGAGTTTATTCTTCTCCAAAACCCCGTTTTCTCTCTCTGTCTCNAGTTGTTTGATCAAATTAAGCAATACTGTTGTGTTGATGGATTTAGCAGTTGTGTTGGTGTTAAATTTTGAGTTTGATATGAACGGTTACTGATTCTGTGCTTATGTAGAGACGCATTAATTTTCCTTTGTTTATTTACCCAGGGATTTTCGACATCTTTATCATGTTTCCTATTTCCTGAAATCTGATCTTAAGTTTTCAGGGACCTTTTTCTCTTTTATTTTATTTATTTATTATTTTTTACTTTCTCCATAACTTGTGGATCTGTTGTTTATTTTCTTTCTTTTAGCCTTTTTTTCTCCATGAGGGCTTCTTTTTTCAACACGGATATAACTTCTAGAAACAAGGCCTTATTTTATCATACTTTTTCAGTTGAAGTTCATGTGCTTCTTGTTATTTGATTTTTCTTTTCCAGTCGCTGCTGTCAATTGTGTTGCACAAATCCTTCCCCTTAAAATGGTTTATCCATTCTTTGAAACAAATTTTCTTCATTTCAAGACAACCATAACTCGGTGACTAAAAAAATTTTCAGTCTGAACATCCATCTTCACAGGCTTGAACACTTTGGCACCCCAAGCAACTAATCCACAGTAGAGGAAGAAATCAAACACAGTATACACAACCCAAGATTTCATCAAACTCAATCTTCTAATCAACACGATGCTATTCGAAGACATGGGCATGAACTTCTGTGGCGACCTCGATTTCTTCTCCTCCCCTGCCCCCATAAAACCTCCCAAAAATGACGACTTCACGGACGACGAGATCGATCTCGACAAACTCGAGCGTCGTATGTGGCGAGACAAGATGCTCCACAAGCGTCTCAAGGAGACTCGCAAGGCGAAAGAATCTTCGTTTCCCCACGAGCCCGCAAAACAGCGCCAGTCCCAAGAAGAACAAGCCCGTCGCAAGAAGATGTCGCGGGCCCACGACGGAATCCTCAAGTACATGCTCAAGATGACGGAAGTCTGCAACGCCCAAGGCTTCGTCTACGGCATCATCCCCGAGAACGGCAAGCCCGTGAGCGGCGCCTCCGACAACCTCCGCGAGTGGTGGAAGGATCGCGTCCGCTTTGACCGAAACGCCCCTGTTGCCGTCGCCAAGTACGATTCCGTTTCCGACCGCCAGGCTGGTGGCCCTCGCGAGTCGGCGTTTTCAAACCACACCTTGCAGGAGCTTCAGGACACGACTCTCGGATCTCTGCTGTCGGCCTTAATGCCGCACTGCGACCCGCCTCAGCGTCGGTTCCCACTCGAGAAAGGTGTCCCGCCGCCGTGGTGGCCGACTTCGCCGCCTTATAAGAAGCCCCACGATTTGAAGAAGGCGTGGAAGGTTGAGGTTCTGACAGCTGTCATCAAGCACATGTCCCCTGACATTGCCAAGATCCGGAAGCTCGTGCGGCAGTCGAAGGGGCTTCAGGATAAGATGACTGCCAAGGAGAGTGCCACCTGGCTCGCTGTTGTTAACCAGGAGGAGGCATTGGCCCGCGAGCTCTACCCCGACAGGTGTCTGCCAGATGGCAGTGGGTCGTTTGCCCTCGATGATGATGTCGAGCTGGCGGGAATGAATATCGCGAGGAAGAGAAAGCCTGGGAATGAATTGAGGGACAATTGCCAGCTTTCTTGCCCTTACAATAAGCAAAGTTATTATTATTCCTCTTTTGGGGATTTGGATTTTAGTGTGAGCGAGATGAAGCCTGTTGTTTTCCAGCCGAAGCCAGCTGGCGTGCACGTGAACACAAATCCAAGCTCGATTGATTTAACGGGACTAGGGGTTCCTGAGGATGGGCGGAAGATGATCGGCGATCTTATGTCCTGCTATGATGTTACTAATTCTCAGTTGGGAAACAAGATTTCAAATGAAGCTGGGAAGAGTTTTGTAAAGCAGCAGCAATGTGAACTGGCGATGGTTTTGGAGGGAAGCAATGTGTTGGACACCAACAAATGTAGTATGGCCGGTAACAATCACTCGTTTTTGGGCCCTGAAAATCAGTTTGAACAGTCCAGTGAGAGTTTCCAGTTTGGTTTTGGTCCGCAGTTCAATATGCCATCGGTTGATTATGCCAACTGTTTTGATGGGGTCTCGAGGGATAATGATAATAATAATAATAATAGTCAGATCTGGTACTAAGGAGATAGTCCGGCGTATGAATTCACCGAGAAAAATGTGCTCTCGATCGAGCTTTTCCCCAGCGCCTTATACATTGTTCTTGGTCAGCTGGATTCTTTTTGCCTCTGCTTTCATCTTATGGTTAGTTAATATGGTAATTTTTCCTGCTTTGCCTGTGTAATAAATAAAGTGGGAACTGGGAAGTATATGCTCATATGGTCCCATCACTAGACAGTTTAACACATGCTGTGCTGGATTGGATAGATGTGTAGATGTTGCATAAAATAAGTGTTTTTTCTTTTCTGGGGGATTTTCTTGGGCAGCCACCAGCTAAGGTTTGGTAGAAGGACCATTTGTGGTATCCAGTTGGCGCCTTACTATTGGTCTGTATTTGTTGACTGAGGAAGCTGGTATGTTTGTCTGGTTATGTCTGCGTGTGATTGCAGGGCAATATAGTAATTGTGGATGCGCAGATGATAAATTCAGGTCCCCATCACATGGGTTGGATTCTTGGAACATAGTCTTGGTTTGTTCTTGAGAAGGTCCACTCAAAAATCCACGGTTTTTCACTGTGCCCAACTATTGTCAGTCAAACTTTTTACGATAATGCGGTTGAATGCATATATTTCCTTGATATGATATTTGTTTTGGCTGGAAAAACTTTTAAGATGGACATAATGTATTAGAAATTATAAATAAAAATGTAGCAGTTGTATGTAAAATTGATGTGATGTAAGTTAATTATAAGAAGTTTGAGAGAAGTGAAGTGAATGAATATTGTAAAATTTATAAAAATATTGA